CCAGTGAACCTGAATGTATGGACCCAAGTGCCTGGTAGGATGTCACCAATTTTCTTAAATGGTGTTAAAGTTACCCATTAATTTTAATATGTATATATATGTGTATTCTTTTGGAAATGCTGGGGATTGAACGGAAGGAGTATTGAGCTCCAGTCCCAGTCTTGTTTTGTTTTGTTTTGTTTTTCTTTGAGACATGGTATCATTATGCAGTTCAGGCTGGTCTTGAACTCACTGTGTAACCCAGGCTGGCCTTGAAGTCATGGTGATCCTCCTGCCTCAGCCTCCCCAGTGCAGGGTTTACAGGCTTAACCTGCTTGGTTTTGTTGTTGTTGTTGTTGGTGGTGGTGGTACTAGGGACTGAATTCGAGTGCTTTGCACTGAGCTATATCCCCAGTCCTTTTTTATTTTTTATTTTGAGAGAGGATTTAGCCTACGTGCCCAGACTAACCTTGAACTTGGGGGTCCTTCTGCATCAGCTTTCTAAGTAGTTGAGATTACAGGCATATACCTGTGGCAGTCCAGCCGTCACAATACTAACATGCCTGAGTTGGGGAGTGAGGATTGAGAAAGGAAAGAACACTCAAGCACGAGTGGAGATGAGGAGAAGTCTGATTTATTTCACAGAAACAGCTCCTTTTATAGGTTCACATCAACAGGAAGCTTTTAAGGGCACACAACAACAGAAAACACCAAGCAATTGTTTTTATATTTATGTAAAGACCGGATTTCCTGACTCTTACAGATAATATCACATCTTCGGCTAACGAATTTCCTGTTATGTCAGGGTCAAAGAAAACAAGCTCAACAAACAGTTTCCTTGAAAAGTAGCAAATGTTGATGCCTTAATTATACAGGAAGAAGTTATTTTCCAACTTTGTCAAACTCCAGTGGGCCATGACTGGGCCCCGACATATCCCCCTTTTTATTATATTTAGAGCAGGGACTTTCCCAGCTCAGCAGAAAGACTGTGCCTGTCTTAGGTGAGAAATGTCCAGAGAAATCCCTTACCCATCATCAAGCCTTGAGAATTCTGATACTCATGCTCTGTCTTAGGTTGGATATTTCTCTACACTTCTCTTACCTGTCTTTGACTACGAGCCTCTGCAGGGGTTAGATCGTATGTTGTGGAGGCTTGACATGTAATTTTTACAAGCATCATTATGAAGAGAGGTTGTCTCAAGACCATCACAGAATGAAAGGAAGTCATCATTTTTGAGAATATACAATTGGTCAATTTACAATTAAAACAGCTGTTGTTATATTCATTATCAGTTTCATAAGCAATCTGTATATTTCTTACCAATAACATATAAGGAGGATAAACTCTAGAAATTATCTTTTTCTTTTGTTCTTTGACTTGAGATAACACAGTATTTATGGTATTTAACATATTAAAGGTCCCTATGCTAAAAACATTGAAACTAAGGCTAGTAACTTTGACATCTGACCATAAACATATTTCTCCCGATACAGCAACAATTTTCCAAATGTGTGAGAAAAACCTGAATTTGTCCACCAAAGTAAAGTCCTGCAGACAAGCTTAAGTCCAAGTGATTAGTCCAAAAACTTTCGAGGTGTGTCATTAAATGTTCTTGAGGTATAGTAACATAACAGCTCTTCCATAAAATAGTAGTACTGCTTATTTTTGTTTCTTCTTTACATAAAGGTAATGATTGTGGAGGTTACTATCCCATGATACTGAATGTAGATTTGTCAGGATGATCCACATGACGAACCAATCTCTCTGGTAACCATCGAGCTCCGTCATGTTCCTGTGAGAAAACACAAACATATCCTCGGCCCCATATTAAAATGGAGTCAGGTCCATGCCATTGACCAGTTAAGGGATCTCTCCATTTTACCAAGGTATATGGAGAACCTTGTGGATGCCAGAATCTTTCTGCTGCTGAATGGCCATGCTTATCAATTTGAAAAAAATTTAAAATATAGGTAGCATGATTTAAATAATTTCTGGGTGAGGAGGGATATAACTCCCCCTTTTTTATTTTTAGAAGTTGCACTTTTAATGTGCCATGAGCACTTTCAACTATTCCCTGTCCTTGAGGATTATAGGGAATACCTGTAATATGCATAATATGCATTTGTTGGCAGAATAGTTTGAAGGCCTTACTAACATATCCAGAACCATTATCTGTTTTTATTTTTTGAGGTACTCCTAAAATGGAGAAACAATATATACAGTGAGCAATAATATGTTTAGTAGCTTCTCCTGTTTGAGCTGAAGCAAGAATAAATCCTGAAAAAGTGTCAACAACAACATGTACATACTTTTGTTTTCCAAACTCCATTACATGAGTAACATCCATTTGCCATAGTTGATTAAGAAGCAAACCTCGAGGATTAATACCATAATGTGGAACAGAAGAAAATTGAGGGCAATTGGAGCACTGTTTAACAATTTGTTGGGCAGCTTCTTGAGGAATCTGAAATTGATATCTAAGAGTATGACTACTTTGGTGATGGAGTTGATGAGATTGATGAGCTAAATCAATTTTAGAAAGGGCAATAAATTTTGTGGAAATATCAGCAAGATGATTTCCAAAAGACAATGGACCCGGTAAAACAGTATGTGCTCGAATATGTCCAATAAAACAAGGAAGAGAACGAGTATGAATATAATTTTGTACTTGAATAAAAAGTTGTTGAAACTCTAAATTACTGGTATTAATACAGGCCACAGTTTTTAAAGAAGGAAGGGCTTTAGCCAAATACTGACTATCAGTATTTAGATTAAAAGAAACATGGGCAAATTCCTGAAAAACAAAAAGAATGGCACGCAATTCAACTACTTGTGCCGAAGTAGCAGGTGTTGAGAAAACTTTTTCATGACCATTAATAACATAAACAGCTTTACCATTAGAGGATCCATCAGTGAAAATAACAATGGCATCAGGTATAGGTTTAAATGAAATAATTTTTGGAAAAACGAAGGATTGAATGTTTGCAAATTGTAGCAATTTATTAGGTGGATAATGAAATTTAATTTGGCCTGGAAAATATGCAAATGCAATAGCCCAGGAATCACAATTCTGAAGCAGCCAATCTAATTGTTTTCCTGTAAATGAAATTACAATAATGGAAGGTTCTAAACCAAAATATTTCCGAGCATTACATCGGATTGATTGAACAAGTTGGGCAACAGCTTCATTAATAAGGTTGTAAATTTTTGGCAGGTGAAACAGATAAATGTAACCACAATAAAGGTCCATTTTGCCACAAAACAGCTGTAGGGGAATGTTTGGTTAGAAAAATAAAAGCTTCTAAGGGTTTTTGATAATCAAAATAAAATATCTGTTGATTAGAAATGGCTATTTCTACCTTTTGAAGAGCCAATCATCCTACATATGTGAGGGTCCTGAGGGAGGAAGGATCAGGATCCCCTTGCAAGATATCAAATAAAGGTTTTAATTCTCCAGTAGTTAATTTTAAATAGGGACGTATCCAATTTATATCCCCCAATAATTTTTGAAAATCATTCAAAGTTTTCAAATTATCTTTTCAAATCTGTAACTTTTGGGTAAATATTTTTCGAGGATATAGCTGATATCCCAAATATGAAAAAGGAGACTCCCATTGAATTTTTTCAGGAGCAATAACTAACCCATAATCATTTAAAACCTTTTGTAAATAAACAAATACAGTAAGCAATAATGATTCATCTTCATTTGCTAAGAGAATGTCATCCATATAATGTATCATATAAACAGAAGGATACCTTTGTCTAATACAGGAAAGAGCCTGCGCTACAAACTTTTGACATAGGGTAGGGCTATTTGCCATACCTTGAGGCAAAACTCTCCATTGGTACCTTTGCATAGGTTCCTGGAAATTAATAGAAGGGACACTAAAAGCAAATCGTTTACAATCTGTAGGGGCTAGAGGTATAGTATAAAAACAATCCTTTAAATCAATAACTATTTTAAAAGTATTTCTAGGTATTGCAGAGGCAAGGGGGAGACCAGGTTGTAATACTCCCATGATTTCCATAGTTTCATTAATCTTTCTTAAATCTTGCAATAGTCTCCATTTACCAGACTTTTTCTTTATAACAAAAATTGGTGAATTCCAAGGAGAGACAGACGGTTCAATGTGGCCTTTATCTAATTGTTCCTGCACTAACTGTTGGGCAGCTGTTAATTTCTCACTAGTTAAGGGCCATTGGTCAACCCAAACAGGTTTTTCATCTTTCCAGACTATTGGATCTGTATGGGGTGCAGGCATGTCAATGACCCCTAGGAAAAATATCCCAGGCCTTGTTTAGGAGGATGAGCTGACGGAGTCACAGGAAATTGAATTCCTTGGCCTTCCTTTCCTAAACCAACATTAGGCAAAAATCCTTGATCAAACATTTGATTAGAGACCTTTTGATTAGGGCTATATAAATAAACTCCCATTTGTTGCATGACATCCCTTCCCCATAGATTAACCAGGAGGCCAGGAATAACATATGGTTGAAAAGTCCCACAGTGTCCTTCTAAATCACTCCAATTTAATATATCAGTACTTTGTTTAGGATTTCTACTTTGACCAATGCCTTGTAATTGAGAGACAGTCTCCTGCAAAGGCCATGTAGAAGGCCACTGGTCAGCAGTTATAACAGAGACATCAGCACCAGTATCTAATAACCCAATAAAAGATTTTCCTTGAATTAACAGTTTTATCTCTGGCCTATTGGCTCCAATAGATTGCAACCAATAAACAACTGAGGACCCAAAGCCTTTATTCCCTCTAATGGCTTTTTTATATTTTCCTGAAGTAACTATCCTGGGTAAAAGAACCAATTGAGCTATATGCTGTTCAGGCTGAATAACAGAAATTTGAGAAGGAGAACAAACCATAATTTTAATTTCTCCAGTACAATCCTCATCGATAATTCCTGGGGAAATTATGAGTCCTTTCATGGTGGAGGAACTTCTACCCAATAAAAGACCTAGGGTACCCCTGGGTAACGGCCCAAAAACTCTGGTGGGTGATGCTTGCGTTCCCATTTCAGGGGTTAGTACTGCATAGAAGGAGGAACTGAGGTCCAATCCTGCACTGCCTGGGGTGACTCGGAATAAGTCCTGAACGGATTTTTTGACTGAGGGAGGATCCAAGGGGTTGGATCCTGAAATGCCCCAAAAGTTTGATACGGGGCATTTGAGGCTGGCCCTTCTGCCCATTTCCCGACTGCATAGGATTGCCCATAACATCCCTTTTAGATCTACATTCATTGGCCCAATGATTTCCTCTTTTACATCTAAGACATAAACCAGGTTCTTCAGAAGGTTTTGAAAAAGGTCTATTTTCTTTATGTTGTGGGCATTCTCGTATTAAATGTCCTGCCTGACCACAGCCAAAGCAATTTCCATTATTCCCCTTTTTTGGAGGGCCACTTCTATGTTGTTGACATAAGACCTCTTTTACAGTTTTTCCTTGTAAAGCTGCAGCCATGGCAAGGCCCTGAGTGTAAGAGGGACCTATATCAGCACACAAGTGAACATCATCTGATAAATCAGCCTTCTTTCTAAAAGGATGAAGGGCAGCTTGGCAAGCAGAATTAGCATTTTCATAGGCCAATTGTTTAACTAAGATAATTTCTGCTTCTGATTCTCCAATTATTCTACTAGCTGTTTGCTACAAACGATCTAAAAAATTTTGGAAGGGTTCATCGGGCCCTTGTCTGATTTTAGAAAGATCCTCTGTAGCCTGTCCAGAGGAAGATAATTTTCTCCAAGACGCTTTGGCAGCTGCATTAATTTGAGTACATACTCCTAGGGGAAAACCCAATTGCTGAGTAACATCAACATAAGGTCCCTCTCCTGCTAGCATCTCATAAGTTGCATTAAATTCTCCTTGCTGTCTATTCAGGTCTGCTATTCTCTGGCATTGTTCTGCATATTCAGACTTCCACAACAAATAATCTCCTCCAGCTAGGCAAGCCTTAGCAATCTGTTTCCAATCGAAAGGCGGCAAGGCATCAGTTGCAAGACAATCTAGCATGGCTAACGTAAAAGGGGCAGTCGGCCCATATTGGGTACAAGCCATTTTTAATTCTTTTAATTGTTTAAAATGGATGGGGGCGTGTTGTCGAACAAGGTTTCCCTGAGCATCCTGAGCCTCAAAAACTGGGCAGGCCAGAGAAAATGCAGATACATCCTCACCTTCTTTAAAGGCTTGTTGTAAACCCTGCTGAACTGGAGATTTAAGGAGTTGGGAGTTTACTTTCACAGTCTTCCAGCCTTCAGGAGGTCCTGAAGCCAAAGCAATTAAAGAAGGCTCCTTTTCTAACCGATTGTCACAAGGAGAAGGATCAAGATCTGCTATTGTACTAGTCTTGTTTTGAGGGGGTTTATGACTAGTCCATTGAGCTTCCATTTGTTTAGACAGATTTTCTATCATTTTTTCTATTTTTTCCATCACTTTTTCTATTTTTTCCATCCTGTCTTCTAACTGAACTTTTTGTGAATCCTTACTATGGGCTGCTGTCACTAAAGGCGGCCATACATTTTCATAATATTTAGCAGTTTCTACCTCAAAACCTAGAGGTTCCAGAGGAGCCGTCGGAATGATACTTTCACTTTCAATTTTACAATTATCATACTCAGGTTCCTCTACACTCAATAAACTTTTAAACATATATACAAAAGGCAAGCGACTGTTGCTAGCTCCCATTTTTAATATTTATAAGAAAACTCACCGCTCCTCTTTTTGCCTTCCTTTTGAAGGTCCTCTTTTTTCTTTTCGTCGAGATCTCCTTTTATTCTTTATCCAGCAGTGTCCTTCACTGAATCCCTCGAGACTCAGGTCCCTGTTCGGGTGCCACTTGTGGCGGTCTAGCCGTCACAACACTAATATGCCTGAGTTGGGGAGTGAGGATTGAGAAAGGAAAGAACACTCAAGCACGAGTGGAGATGAGGAGAAGTCTGATTTATGTCACAGAAACAGCTCCTTTTATAGGTTCACATCAACAGGAAGCTTTTAAGGGCACATAGCAACAGGAAACCAAGCAATTGCAATTGTTTTTATCTTTATGTAAAGACCGGATTTCCTGACTCTTACAGATAACATCAGATTTTCGGCTAACGAGTTTCCTGTTATGTCAGGGTCAAAGAATCAAAACAAGTTCAACAAACAGTTTCCTTGAAAAGTAGCAAATGTTGATGCCTTAATTATACAGGAAGAAGTTATTTTCCAAATGTCAAACTCCAGTGGGCCATGACTGGGCCCCGACAATACCACCATGCTTGCCTAAAAATAATAATTTTAAAAACTTAGCTGGTTTGTTGCGGCAGTACTTGTCCTCCCAGCACTCAGGAGGCTGAGATTAGGAGGTTATAAATTTGAGGCCAGTGTTCAAAAAAAAAACCAACAAAAACCAAGCCCAAGAAGCAAACAAACAGAAACCTAGTACCCTGTCCTAAAAAGCAGCCACACAGTGCATTTAGACATCATTATCCTACAGTCATCTCTTCCTGTCCTTGGAGGGATCTGTAAGTCTCCTTGGATACCAAAATCTGTAAGTGCTCAAGTCCCTCCTTTAAAGTGGGGCTGCATTCGCATAGACGCACATCCTCCTGCATACTTTTTAAACCATTGCCTGCAACACCTAAACACCTAATACAGCATACGTGCCTAAGTAGTTGTTACCCTGTATTATTTGAGAGATAACAACAAGTTTAAAAGCCTGTACATGTTCAAAACAGGAGGTTCCCCTTTTTTTATGTCTTTTTTTTTTTTTTTTTTAATGGTACTAGAGCTCTCACCCAGGAACTCTGCACTGCACTATATCCCCAGCACTTTTTTATTTTTTTATTTTGAGACAGAGTATTGGAAAGTAGCTAAATTGCCATATTGGGTGTGAACTTGTTGTAATCCTCCTGCCCAAGCCTCCTATATTGCTTGGATTGCAAATGTGTATCATCAAGCTGGATCTCTGTCTGTCTGTCTGTCTTCCTTTCTTTGTGGTTGTTATTTTTGTTTTATTTTGTTTTTAAGACAGAGTCTCATTGTGTAGCCCGGCTGGGCTTAACTGTGGATCCTCCTGCCTCAGCCTCTAAGTGCTGGGATTGTAGGCGAGTGCCCAGCCTTTTGAGTATCTCCGATGGTCAGTTAGTTGAATTCATGGATATGTTACCCCACCTTAGTCATGAAATGCCTGCTGGCCTCTCTGAATTTCTCCCCTGCCCTAATCTTGCTTATATTTAAAGATGCCTGCAGACGGAGGTTCCCCTTCCAGGTGAAACTGGCTGAAACTAAGATGGCCACCAACGTGACCACTAAACAACCTCTACCTCCATTACCACCGCATCTGCATGTTAAATGGCACCCACCCCTAGTGCGATGACTGTTGACTATTCCGTGACAAGGACTAGGAAGAGCTTTGAAAGGAGGGATAGAGCTTGCCCGAATTCCCAGAAAGACTCCACCAATTCCCAGAAAAGAGGTAAACATCCCTCTTTCTCACTTCCATTACCCTTTCTCGAATTCGCAATCCTTTGGCCTCAGCCTCTCAAGTGCTGGGATTACAGCCTGCATCACTGTGCCTTTCACTGCCTGTTCTTGGCTAAGAATAAAAGTCTTCTTTGCTGTTTGGTTGGCACTTGGTCTTGTTATTGGTTCCACAATTCTCAGGGGGAGAAAGGACCTGTGTTGGGGTCAGGCATTGGTAACAGATCTAAAGAGCTGTACTTAAAGGCGAGTCTGTTTTCAGGCAAAAATCTACAGCCAGACATGGTGGTGCATGCCTGTAATCCCAGCACTCGGGGGCCAGCCTGAACTACAAAGGGAGACCCTACCTCAACACCCTCCACAATGCAAACTCTCCTACTAGAATGACTACTGCTGTTTGAATTGGAAAAGTAAAACTCTGAAAACTTGAGTGTATGCACAGATAAAACAGATAAAAGTGGCACTATCTTCATATGTCTGCTGTGACTGTTTCATTAAATGATGGAGGTCAAATTCAGCACAGAGCCTGGCACACTGAATACTTACAGACTTCAAAACAGCAACAGCATAGAAGAGGATGTCAAATCATGATAATGTTAACTGAGGTACAGAAAATAAAATGAGTGACTAGGAAAGCATGTAGGAAAAAGGGTGCTTTAGTTAGGCTTGGCAGGTAATGCCAGCAGTGAGGTGATCATGTGTGTGTGTGTGTGTGTGTGTGTGTGTGTGTGTGTGTTACTGGGGATCATACCCAGGGCCTTCACACTGAGTGACATCCCCTGCCCCCTTTTTCTATTTTTTATTTTGAGGCAGGGTCTCACTAAATTGTCTAGGTGAGATTTGAACTTGGAATTCTTCTGCCTCAGCCTTCATAAAAGCTGAGATTACAAGCATGCACCACTATGCTCAGGTGCAAAAAGACTTTTTAAAAAATGCTACAGAAAGGGATGTGAAGATTACAATGAGATAATATATAAAAGTGCAACGAGACTGTAACATCCTACAGAAGGTGAGCTAGCACATCACTCCATTTATCCTGAAATAAGCGATTGCATTCCTTCCTTCCTTCACAGTTCCTTTATCTTCTTCTTGCTGGCTGGTGCACGATTGCATAAGTCTGGCTGTGAGCCTGTACCTGGATGGCTGTTGGCATAGACTCTCTCCTGTGGGGTTTCCCGGCCATAGTCATTGTCTCCCAGCGCTCCTGGGAAGTTTGCAGGATTGTTGCCTTGGTTCAGATGAGGAAATTAAGAGCCACCTTTAAGGATGTGCCTGAGATCAGCCCTATTATACACATTGCCATTGGCTATCTCCATTGCTGGTGAAAACACCTTGAGGGCAAGATGTTATTTATAAGGGCTCTTGGGGATGTGCATTGAAGTGTTCTCTTCTCCTCACTAAAGTCTCCAGAACATAGAGCTTGTAGCCCACACCACAAGAATGAAGACAAGTTGGGCCCAGCCAGGCTGGCTTTCCTCCCCAGGAAACATCTAGTGTGAATCTGGCCTCTTGGGCCTGAGGGGACAGTATGCAACCGCCATTCCAAAAAGCAAATATATTCTTTGAGACCTGTGTCAGCTGTGTGACCAGAAAGTATGACACAGGGCATAAAGTACGTGACCTGACAGTATGACACTAGTACTTTTCCTCGTTTGCAAGTCCAAAGGTTCAGATCAGGGTGAGGGGCTGGTGCCCTGCAGTTAAAGCACTGGGTCTGGCGTTCACCTCGGGTTCTGTTCTCTTTCTGCAGTGGGACTGTGGGGGAGGCACTTAACAACTTGCCCTCAGATTCTCACCTAGGAAATGGAGAGGACTCTACTGAAAAAAGAGTAATGGAAGAAAAATGAAATGTGTTGTATCCTGCAGTGTACACACTTGAGTGGTATCCTTGGGGGTTTTCTGGAAAGGACTAGAAGGCAAGAGGGTGGGTGAGAGCTCCAGAGGGGCACATCCTGGTGCATTTTGCCCAGGAAATGCTCATCTTCACCTGTCTGCATTTGCAGCCATTTCCACTGTATGGACGGATTTGCCGTTGGATGGACCCACCAGTGCCCGGCAGCCTTCAGGCCGTCCACTGCCTGGCAAGCCAGTTTCTCCTGTCCTCTCAACTGGAAGGTACCAGACGGATGAGACAGTGTGTGCTCCATCGCAGACAGCTTACTTGAAATGAGGCTCAGTTGGAGGAAGGAGGAGGTGGGAAGAAAGAAGGCAGGGACACAGAAGGGAGGCTGGTTTCCCCTTGTTGACCCCAGCCTTAGCCTCCGTACTATTCATCTTAACTCCTGTCCCCAGCCCAGACTCTGATCTTGAATTGCCCAGGGCTCCTCGTCCTTCATTTTCTTCAACTCCTTTTTCCTCAGCTCAGTTACACTTAGGCAGTGCAGACCTAAAAGAGAGATGGAGGAATAATAATGTCTGAGGCTTTTTAACACCACATTGTAGTGTACAGAGTTTGTCCATGTCTGTGGCCCCACAAGCCTTCCGAGAAGCTCCGGTCTCCCATTTTCCAAGTGGGAGCTGCGGTGTGGTTAGCTCACCTGGTTGATTCACAGCCATATGGCTTGGATGCACTAGATCTGGGCCTGGACCCTAAGGTCCAAATCTTGGGCCTTTCTCCAGCTTATAGGGGGCAAAGGAATGCTTCTCAGAGGAAATCTGCACCTTAGCAGAAGTAGAATAAGAATTATCTATGAAATATCAGAACAGTTGTAGATACATTAACCCATCTATGAGCCATGCCCAATCCAAACTTCAGTTTTTGTATTTCAAGGAAACTCAGGACCACACTGTTGGTGAAAAAAAATCACATGACATCTCTTGGTGCTCACGTCACTCAAGGAAATATGTAGAAACTTGTAGTGAGGTTAAATGAAGTTGTCTGTCTTTCACATTTGGCCCATTCAGAGAATAAGGTGTTCAGAGACTCATGAAACCCCGTGTGTTCATGCCTTCCTTTCTCAAAGATAAAAGGACAGAACTGGAAACTGTCA